GATGGATGGATGGATGGATGGATGGATGGATGGATGGAAGGGGTACTAGTGGTATGACTAAATGGCTCAGGGGGTACACAAGTCTAAAAAGGTTGGGAACCACTGGGTAAACATCCCATAACTTTGATAATAAAATAAAAATAAGGACTTACTGCAAAGCCACAAGTCATTAAGGGACACGGATTAGCTGCTGTTTCCTCTGTGTTTTTGCCACAGGTGGTCTCCTGGATGATGTACTCCACGTGGTAAGMCATGCTCATTGCCATCTAGACACAAACCCAGACAGAGAGAGAGAGAAAGTTTTCTGTTATGAACAGATACAATAAAAACAAGTTTGTTGTCAGGATTTCATCAGAACATTTGTTAGATTCAGCCAGCTGATGTTCTGCATCTTGTCCAGGTGTTAAAATACCAACAAACAAACAAAAACCTGATGATATTTGTATGTTTTTTAAACGTGTCAGAAACTTACACCAGCAGTAGCGCGGGAGATCTGACGCAGAGCAAAGCGGTTGGGGTAGTTGCTCTCTTTGTTGAACTTCTCCAGTGAGAGAGTTAYGGTCTTTTTGACTTCTTCGTTGTCAAAGCCGATAAAAGTTGGACAGTCGGGACAAATCTGTACGACCCGAGCAGCAGGAACTGAGCAAAGCAGAAAGTGGTTCTTGAATATTTAAGTATGTTCACAGCACAAGATCATGCTGCAGAGAAGAAAGACTTATACAAAAAAAAGATGAAGATATGAATCAAATTTTTTTTCGCAAATTTGTTTTTCCTTCCAAGAATACAGATACATGTCTAAACAATAAAATGTACAATACAAAGTAAATATAAYGGACAATCTGAATATTATTTTTCGTACCTGGTCTTATAAGACACCTGTATTTGTAGAGACGGACCACTCTGTGAGGCTTACTGATGAAAATGGCAGCTTTGCATTGTCCATACACCTGAAAAATATACAAGGATAAAAAAATATCCACTTTTGTGTCAAAATTCTAGCTTTGGTACACACAGATGTCCGGCTGGCCCAAAAGAAAACATGCTTGTGAAATTTGTTTATGGTTTTATGAGTGATTAAAGAAGTCTGCACAGAACTGTAACATGTGAGCCGTCACATCGAAACGAGGATTAAGTCCAAAAGTGGAAAATGGAGAAATAGGCAGATATAGGGTTTTTATWTAAACGTGTGCAAAAATTRCATTTTGTCRAAACTGATGAATGAATTAATGCTTTATCAATGTATCATTTGAATGAACTGTCTAAAACAGTGTTTCCCAAAGTTGGGGTCGGGACCCAAAGCGGGGTCCCGAAACATCAAGGTGGGGTCCTGAAAAGATTTTCTGAATTAATTACATTTTTGCCTTTGTTGTTACAAATGAGTGAGGTTAGTATATTTAAAATTGATTAATGTAGTAAAAAAATATTCTTACCATGCCCATGTTTAGTTGACCTGATACAAATGTTTATCATCTAAAAATATTTGTGGGCACAGGTCTCTGCTACTGTTATTTTTTGGGTCAAAAGCTGAAAAGTTT